ACAAGTTCAAAGTCAGCCTCAGCAACAATGAGGCGCTAAGCAACTCAGTGAGACCCTGTCTCTAAGTAAAATACAAAAGAGGACTGGGGATGGGGCTCAGTGGTGGAGTACCCTTGAATTCAATCCCCAGTACCTGGCCCCCCCCAAAATAAAGAATCTCACTAAGTCACTGAGTTGCTTAAGGCCTCTCTAAGTTGCTAAGGCTGGCTTTGAACTGGTGATCCTCCTGCCTCAGCTCCCGAACCACTGGGATTACAGGCATGTGCCACCAAGCCTAGCAGAAAGTCTATATTTTTTTAAGTCCTCAACATCTAGTGTGGTACCTGATTGTGATGAATCCTTAGATATTTGCTGTTGGATAAATAAATAAATAGATAAATATCTAAACAGATAAGTAAGAATCCATGTGCCCAGCAGCAGCCCCTTATCACACACAGGGACACACACTTTCATTAAGCCACATTTTCCATGATTGACAACTCCTTTCCTTAATTCAGTCGAACCTGTAATGGAAAATAGGAAAGTGGCTTCTCATTTGTTTGACCTTCAGATGGGAAGACTATTCTAGATTGCCCTAGTAGGCCCAGACATTTCACAACGGCACAGAAAAGTGGAAGAGGAAGGCAGGAGAAGGGCCAGATAATGGGCTGTTACATGAGAAGGACTCGTGCTTCTGATGTGGCTTTGAGATGAAAGAAGATAGCCAGAAGGAAAGGAAGAAGACCAGGGAGGGCTTGAAAAGCCAAAAAAAGCAAGGAAACAGACTCTCCCCAGAGCCTCAAAGTCAGGCAGCCCTGCTGGCACTCTGACTTCAGCCCAGTGAGACCCGTATCAGACTTCCGACCCACAGAACTAGGAGATAATGCAGTTACATTGTTTTGTTTTGTTTTGTTTTTCAATATTTTTTTAGTTGTAGTTGGACACAGTACCTTTATTATTTTTTTTTATTTATTTTTATGTGGTGCTGAGGTTCGCACACAGGGCCTCACACTTGCTAAGTGAGCACTTTATTGCTGAGCTACGACTCCAGCCCTGCCATTACATCGTTTTAATCTACCAACTTTGTGGTAGTTTGTCACAGCAACAAGAAGAACCTCATGCACTTTAATGTTATTAAAAAGTCTTTGAAAATATGGTTGTTGGTTGATTCATAAGATTATCTTATGAATTTTCCTGTGGATCTACCATAATTTACTTAACCAATTCCATGATCCCATGCATTAGCTGTTTTGGCCACTTCTAATTTGTGTAATTGTTGAACAGACAATCTGGCTAATTTGCACCATGGATGTTCCCTGCTGAGTGCTTGTTAGGTAAATCTGCACCATCTCTGTTGCTATGTTCCACCATCCATTCTGCTTTGAAAATTTAACCGAGTGTATAGATGCTTCTTGCAGTCTTCTAACTTTTCTTAATATTGCTTATTGAAACCTTGAGTAAAGCATAATTTGGGAAAGGATAGGTTGCTATTCTATATTAAGTTTTAGTTTTCTGCAGGGTATGTTATAGTTAAAGCATCGTCCTGGGGTTTCATAAATTGACTTCCAGACCACGCACATATAATTGAATCAAGCCTTTATTGAAGCACACCGGTGGTGACTGACCAGAACATAAAGCTGTTCCTCTGATCAGCCCTGCACAATTGCAAGGGCACTCCTTATAAGCCTGAAAACCACAAAAGGGACGTTTGGGGGTCTAGCCAATGCAAGCAAGCTAAGTTACAGCAGGAGAGTGCAGTCAGGTGGCGAGACACTTAGCCAATCACAATTAGCCTAGTCACCCCAGTTCCAGAAACAGAGCCCCATTACCCTAGATACAGAAACAATGCCCCATTAGGTAGTTCCGTGTTCTTAAAGGTTTCTTTTTTTTTTTTTAAGAGAGAGAATTTTAATATTTATTTTTTAGTTTTCGGCGGACACAACATCTTTGTTTGTATGTGGTGCTGAGGATCGAACCCGGGCCGCAAGCATGCCAGGCGAGTGTGCTACCGCTTGAGCCACATCCCCAGCCCTCTTAAAGGTTTCTATAGCAAAAGGGAAAGAACATATTGCCCCAGTCATGACTCTTCTACTTGGCATGGTTGTTTTACAAAATGGAGTTACAAAATGGAGTCACTTTGGCTTGACTATCACAGGTATGGTGGCACATGCCTGTAATCCCAGCAGCTCCAGAGGCTGAGGCAGGAGGGTTTCAGGTTCAAAGCCAGCCTTAGCCACTTAGCAAGGCTGTAAGCAACCTAGTGAGACCCTGTCTCAAAATAAAATTAAAAAGGGCCAGGGATGTGGCTCAGTGGTTAAATGCCCTTGAGTTCAATCCCTGGTACCCATTAAAAAAAAAAATTGTGATCTGACCTTAGATATGCTAATTTTTTCATTTTATAATCTGTTGTATGTGTACTTAGCACTAAGTGTTGAAGTGAATATCTCTAAGGAAAATTCTTATTCTATATCCCTTGTGCTCCTTCAGTTTTAACTAGTGAGTTTTTAACAGAAATATTCTTCAGGTCTTTGGGAAATAAGAAAGATACTTGAAAGTTACTAAATAGCTATAAAATATGATTAAACTGAATTGTTGTTTGATTACTTGTCAGTCAGCAGTTGATAGTAGTAAGAAAGCCCATTTCCAAGAAAACATATTTGTTTTTTTTGGAAAAGCAAAACTCACTTGATATTACCATCTCCTTCCCCCATGGGAAGGTAGGGGTCTCCCATTCCTTCAGGAAACAGCTGTGCCCTACTCTTCCACCTCTTTCTCTGTAGCCACAGACATTTCTCTGTCATCAAGAAGCAAAGAGCCAGGCATGGTGGCACTGCCTGTATCCCTGCTACCTGTGCGGTAGAGACAAGAGGATCTCTTGAGCCCAGCAGTTGGGGGCCAGCCTGAGCAATGTAGCCAGATCCCGTCTCTTTGAAAACAAAAAGGCAAATAAGACCCAGATGGCCGCAAGACCACCCTCCTCAGGCCTGACCCTCACTCTGTAGCACCTGCCGTGGTGTCTCCCTCCCCCCACTGCATTGCTTTCACATTTCTCTGGAACTTTCTAGACAGATGCTATCCCCACCTACCTCAGCAATTGCTTTTGCAGAAGTTAGTGGTACTCTCCTAATGACTAAGTCCACTTTTTGGCTTTGTTCTCGTTTTTATTTTGAGCCATATCCGCAGCCCTTTTTACTTTTTTTTTTTTTAAATTTAGAGACAGAGTCTCACTGAGTTGCTTAGGACCTTGCTAACTTGCAATCCTCCTACTTCAGCCTCCCAAGCTACTGGGATTACAAGTGGGTGCCACTGTGCCTGGCTGATTAAACTTGCTTTTTCACCTTCTGACTTTTTCTGTATTTTTCTCAACCTATCTGATAATTTTCTTTCTGTCTCCTTTTTTCCTATCCCTTAAATGTCAGTTTTCCAGCTAGTCCAGGTCAGATAGCTAGGGAGACAGATGTGTGTGTATAGATTTCCAAACAAATCTACATGCTGTTCACCTCAAGAACACACCCCCAGCCCAGACTGCCCTGTTAAACCCCCAAGTTAGGGAAGAGCTGCCTCCCAGCCACTGGGACATCTGTGCTTGGCTCAGTCACAGGACCAGCTGAAGCCCCATATTGACCCAGCCCTTCCTACACGACCTGCTGTTCTTCAGTCTCTGACCCCTTGCATCCACCCAGTTGGCTGCCAGTTTTCAACAGCTTCCCCTGTAGTTCAGCCCTTCACTAGTACAGGTCCACTCTCAGCAGAGTGAGCTGGCTTTTCCAGATTACAGGGCCAGTTGTCTTGTTTCCCTGCTTAAAATCTTCCTGTAGGGGGCTGGGGTTGGGGCTCAGTGGTAGAGCGCCAGCCTCGCACGTGTGGGGGCACTGGGTTTGAGCCTCGGCACCACATAAAAATAAAGATATTATGTCCATCTATAACTAAAAACATATTTTAAAAAATCTTCCTGTAGGTTATTCCATCTTTGTTGGGATCATCTTCTTTTTTTAAAAAACAGTTCTGGGGATTAAACTTCAGGGGTGCTCTACCAGTGAGCCATACCCACAGCCCCCCACCTTTTTTTTTAAATAGAATCTTTCTGAGTTGCTGAGGTTGGCCTCAAACTTGCAATCCTTCTGCCTCAGCCTCCCAGGTAACTGGGATTTCAGGTGGGTGCCAGGACCTTCTTGTTGTTGTTGTTATTGTATTTATTATACCTTTATTTTATTTATTTATTTATTTATTTATTTTTATGTGGTGCTGAGTATGGAACCCAGTGCTTCACATATGCTAGGCAAGTGGTCTATCCCTGAGGTACAACCACAGCCACTACTGGGACCTTCTTTTTTTATTAATTTTTAAAATTAGTTATACATGACAGTAGAATACACTTTGATACATCATATATAATGGAGTATAATTTCTCATTCGTCTGGTTATACGTGATGCAGAATCCCACCGGTCACTTAATTATATGTGTATGTAGGGTAATAATGTCTGATTCATTCTACTACCCTATTGCTGGGACCTTCTTGATCAAGCATTTCTTCTCCAGCTTTCTAAAAGCAGTCTGCACAGAGGCACACAGCAGGCCCCCACCAACACAGTTCTATGTCTGAATCCAGCCACACCGCCAATGCCAGACTGCCACTTGCCTTTATATTCATGTCAACATCCAAAATGCATTCTCCTGCCCAGTACTTTGGAGACTTGGCTCAGGAGTTCAGACCTCCTCAGTACCAGGCACCTTCCCCACCTACCCTGCTCAGCCCTGACCCTGTGCTCTCAGTGGAGTTCCGCCCACGCAGGCTGCACTGAGCTGATCTGCCTCTCCCCAGCCCATGCTCTATTACTGAAGATGGCATTTGGACCACTGTCACCAAGGGTTACTAGGAGTCTGTTATCAAATTTGATAATAAAACAAAGTGTTTCTTTTCCCCAAATGGACATGTTTTGCCATGGCACCAGTGCTGCCTACTTTGGTTTGTTTTCTCTGCAGGGAACATATTCTGATCTGCTCTGTCTCTCTTATCTAGTGGTAAGCATCCATGGCATTCAGGAAGAGGATCCCCCCGATGCTCAGCTCATGAGGCTGGATAACATGCTGCTGGCTGAGGGTGTGTCCAGACCGGAGAAGAGAGGAAGAGGAGGATCAGCAGCGGTGGCCAGCACAGCAACACCAGGTGGCTGTCCAAATGACAATAACATTGAGCACTCTGACTACAGGGCCAAGCTGTCCCAGATCCGACAGATTTACTACTCTGAGCTAGAGAAATATGAACAGGTGATCTTTCTGCATGGAAGAGTTTCTATCATGTGAATGCGCATTTGTCAAAGCAAAACATGGGACATTAACCTCCTTTCTTTTGTGGCACAGAACAGGGAGAACATGCAGTTGGTCACTACAGTGGTGGCTGATTTTACTTAAAGCCCTTTTCATTTACTTCTCAGAAACCAGCCTGTATATGACCATGGAGGTTGGCAGGTGGCTGGTCAGGTGTGGAACCTGCCACCCCACACCATCCTGCTGCTCAGTCATAGGCTGGCATGTCTGTGTCCTCATCCCAGGCCTGCCGTGAATTCACTGCACATGTCACCAACCTTCTCCGGGAACAGAGCAGGATAAGGCCTGTGTCCCCCAAGGAGATCGAGCACATGGTTGGCATCATACATGGCAAATTCAGCGCCATCCAGATGCAACTGAAGCAGAGCACCTGTGAGGCTTTGATGACCCTACGCTCAAGGTTCCTTGATGCCAGGTCAGGGATTCCAGCTGCCCAAGACCCTGTGGGTTCATCCTCAAGAAGATGAGTGGAATCAGTGCATGTTTGGATTTTTCTTTTTCTTTTTCTTTTTTCCTGTGTGTGTGTGTGTACATGTATGTGGTGCTGGAGATAGAATCCAGGGCCCTGCAGAGGCAGAGCAAGTGCTCTACCACTGAGCCACACCCCAAGCCCCTGGTTTGAATATAAGACCATTCTGGAGGTTCTGGCTGCAGACTGCGGGTACAGGCCTCATATCATCTCTTTGGAAGAAGACCCAAAGTATTGATTGCTGTTTGTAAATTGCTAGAAGCATAGTTAGGAATAGGGGCTGTTATCAATGCAGACTGAGACTGTCTGTCTTTACAGGCATAAGCGGCGGAATTTCAGCAAGCAGGCAACAGAAGTGCTGAATGAATATTTTTATTCCCACTTGAGCAACCCTTACCCCAGTGAAGAAGCCAAAGAAGACCTAGCCAGGAAGGGTGGCATCACAGTGTCCCAGGTGATGTCCTCCCCTGCATGGCCTACCGCACCTGGAAGTTGTGGAAAGTTTAGTCCCATTGGAAGGATACAAAGGGAAGTCAATCAAATGTGTGGATCAGGAGTTGAGGGACCAGACTCAAGGTCACTCTAGATGGGCTTAGATCCCAGCTGTACACTACTGAATGTAGGACTTGGGCAGGTGCTCTTCCCCCTCATGTGTGAGACAGGGATGCAGATGCACCTTGCAAGGCATAGGGACCCCTGAGGAATGCCAGTGGGGTATGAGCCATCTTAATTGATAGCTGGTAGAATGTGAGGTTCCCGAGGGGTGGGACTGAATGTTCTTTGGGCTGGGGGTATAGCTTGGTAGTTGAGTGCTTGCCTAGCTTGTGTGAGGCCCCCAATTCCATCCCAGCACCACAAAAAAAAAAAAAAAATACAAGTGGTCCCTGATGCAATACAAGTAGAATATGAGGTCTTTAAGGTGATGCTGTGGAGTATAAGGCCCCTGACCCTGTGCCCTGGCATTTGGCCAACTGTCTCCTCTGTGGAATTGAGGACAGAGGAGGCCAAGAAAGACTTTAGAGTGGGAACAGTTAGTCCAGCAGCCTACGAGCAGTGAATGTGACCAGGCCGCACTCACTGGCAGCCTGAGTGTGCAGAGTGTGACCTTCCATGGCATTCCTCCTCATGCAGGCACCATCCCACTGCCACTATGGCAGCAGTGATGACAGGCAGCTGGCACTTGGCTCACTGAATGTCCCCACAGTCCTCTGACATTGGGACCCCCTCTCCCTGCTTTGCAGTTAGAGGGGCTAAGTTTTTAGCCCTTAGCCACCACACTCAGACCCCAATTCAGGCTAAGTCTATCTGCATCTCTGTGACAGAGCACTCAGGAGCCCCTCAAGGTCATTTAGGTAGCAAAACATCACAGGGGTCCCAGCCACATCTGACTGGTAACCTGGGTGCTGCTGTGGCATCCTCAGAAACAAGCCCAGAGCTGAAGTAGAAGGCTGTCCCACTGGGTCTTCAAGGCCCCAAAAGAAGCTTGATGTCTGGCTGCTGCTTGGCCAGCCACCAGGAGCAGTAGTCTAAGAAGTATCAGGTGACCTCAGAGCCACTCCAGCCGCTCTAATAATTAGTCTAAAAATTAGTCTCAGGTCTAAATAAGCAGAAGTGTGGAAAGCATTAGCCTGACATGCCAGGGACTCTCCTGCCTGCAGCCTGGACCTTGAGACCCCCCTGCCAGTGGCAGAAGTCTGTTCTAGGAGCCTCTTTCCACTTTGGTGCACCCACCAAGTATCAGTGCATCCCCAAATGGCTGACAATTAGTTGAAGGAGGGTTTTGAATTTGGGCAGAGTCAGGAGAAGTAAAAGGGAGGGAGAGAGAGCACCTTTAAGGCAGGTGATGTCATGGCTGAGGCCCATGGATGTCTTCAGGACAGAATCAGCTCCAACTCAGGCTAGGGAGGTCTGAGGGAGGAAGGGCTTAGGGTTAGGGGAAAAGGGGAAAAGAGCTGAGCTGAAGGAGGGGGTTCTAGGTGGTAGCCTGGATAGCAGAGCTGGCTCGACCAGAGGGGGCTGGATTCTAGGCAGGGATGGTCCATGGCTTCTGAGGTACAGCAGGTAGAGAGGACCTCTAGAGTTGGTGCTACACCTGTACCTACAACAGAGTGCCCACATGGGGTATGCCCTATGCAGAAGACAGACCCTGGCCAGGGACCTGCTTTCCCCCAGTCACTGTGCCCTCTGTCCCTACCTAGCAAGAGGTTCAATCTCCCTAATTCACCCACACTGAAAATTTGCTCTTTATCTCTCTAAAATACCAATTTGGAACTGGGTGTGGTTCAGGTAAGGGCCCAGGAGTTCAAGGCCAACCTGAGCCACATAGTAAGACCACATCTCAAAAAATAAATAAAAAATAATAATAATAATAAGTTACAGCTGGGCACAGTGGCACATGCCTGTAATCTCAGTGGCTCAAAAAGCTGAGGCAGGAGTATCATGAGTTTAAAGCCAGCCTCAGGGGGCTGGTATAGCTCAGTGGTAGAGTGCTTGCCTCGCACTTGTGAGGTACTGGGTTCAATCCTCAGCACCACATTAAAAAATAATAAATAAATAAATAGTGTAAAAAAAAAAAAAGTCAGCCTCAGAATTTAGCAAGGCCCTAGGCAACTTAGTCAGACTCTGTCTCAAAAATAATAAGGGCTGGGGATATAGCTCAATGGTTAAGCACCCCTGGGTTCAGTCTCTGGTACCCAAAAAAAGTTAAAATGGGGACAACATGAGAAAGTGTTTACTGCCATTCTCTGCAAGCCTTGTTCCACAAAGAAGTTCTGGAACATTCCCAGTAGATAGGTGGAAGCCAAGTGCTCACTCAAGCCTGGATCAAGAGAAGACTACCCCTGCTCCCAGGGGAGGCAAAGAAGTGGTAATGTTTTAGAAGCAGGGAGCACATGCATACAGGTTTGTTTTATTTGTTTTTAATAATTTGGTGATTTTTTATTTTTTATTTTTTTTTAGTTTTATTGATCTACTTACTTTGGTACCAGGGTTTGAATCTAGGGGTACTTAACTATTGAGCCACATCCCCAGTCCTTTTTATTTTTTTATTTAGAGACAGGATCTCATTAAGTTGCTTTAGGGCCTTGCTAAGTTGCTGAGGCTGAACCTTGAACTTTAGACTCTCAGCCTCCTGGGTTGCTGGGATTACAGGTGTGCACCACCATCCCTGGCTGCATAGAGGTTTTATAGTTAATAATGAGAAGGTAATACTGAGTCATTAAATAAAACATTCTTACAGGAGTAAAGGTCATCCATAATCCCACCACGGTCACTCACCTGTAGTGGGTAACAGGCACCTCAGAGACAGCACCCACACAGTCCATTCACATCATGTCTCACTCTGAGCGGCTTTTTGGCAGCTTCAATGTGTATCCACAGGTCTCTAACTGGTTTGGCAACAAAAGAATCCAATATAAAAAGAACATGGGGAAATTTCAAGAAGAGGCTACCATTTACACGGGTAAATCAGCTATGGATGCCACCAAGGCCAGGGCCCTGGAGAGCCAAGCCAGCTGCCTGTCAATGCCTAGCCCCGGTGAGTGTTGGCTGGGCCCAGCGCCCCTGAGCAGCATCTGGGGAGCCCCCTACCCAGCTGGTCACGAATTACCTCTTTCTCTCTTTGAATTATGAAATTTCTGTTTTCATTGGCCAAGATCCCAACTAACAGATAACCATAGCCTGTGCCAGTGCTGTGGGACACAGACACTGATACCAGTAAGAAAGGACAAGAGCTGTGTGGCAAGGAGCCCCACCTGCCTCATTGACCAGTGTCCTCACCACACAGAGACAGGGAGACCAATGCCATGTGGGGACTGCCTTCCCGGTCTCTTCTGACTGTGGGGCTGGGCAAATGCCATCTGAGGCCTCACTGTGACTTCAGCTGACCCAGGCCCTGCTCTGATCCTCAGCCTAAACCCCTACCACTTCTTCCAGGTTCCTCTGGTCCCTTCCCACTGACCAGTGCTGGGGATACATTCCTCACCCTGCGGACCCTGGCCTTTCTCCAGCCCCCTCCTGGGGGCAACTGCCTACAGTCCCAGGTAGGTTGGGGCACAGTCCCAGGGAGCCCTGGTAGCTGTGGGTCCTCAGAATGGGGCCGACTTTCCAGCCACCTCCCGCTTCCACTCATCTACAGCAGTGCCCCAACCACATGGTCTCCGTTGTGAGGATCGCAGGTGGGCTGAGCTGCCGCAGGGCCCGGCTCCTCAGGGTCCATGTTGTACACACTGTTCCTTTGGGCTCCCAAGGGCTCCCACCTCTGCCCATTGCAGGATGTTAATTCACAGCAGCCACCAAAACCAGTCAATGGGCATGAGGACCCGCTGTAAGGATTTTGGTGTGGAGGGGAAGGAGCCTCCCTCCTGGAGGAGTGTGGGGAAAGGTGGCAGGCGGCGTCAGAGGAGGCCTGGAAGAAAGATGGGCTCTTCCCCTTGAGAACATGCTCCCTCCTAGGCTCAGGCCCACCAGTGTCTACCTGGAGGCCTAGCCAGGACAGAGGGCCTCTCACCAGCACCACTTTCCTCTTGCCCTGATGAGGTGTTAGTGCCCAGTGTGGCCACACTGAAGATCCATTTGGTGATTGGGAAGAAAATAAGCCAAGGACCTTGAGTGGCCACAGTACCCTCCAAAATTTTCTTGAGGTGTTACCTGCCCCTTTCTCAGGTCCTGGGGCCTCCCCAGTCTGCCCTAATGGCCACAGGGTCCTGACCCCTGACCTAGAAGAGGGTTCAAGTGGGGCTGATTGGCCCACTGTGTGCAGGTTTTCCAGAAGATGCCACATAGACACAGGAGGACGAGCCCACCAAGGAGGCATATCCGGGGCCTTACAAAGCCCATGAGTTTTTCCTTTTTTTCGGTACTAAGGATGGAACCCAGGGGCACGGTTACCACTGAGTTTCATCCCCAACCCTTTTTATTTCTAAAGCAGTGCTAGTTTTGGTTGTTTTTAATATTTTTTAGTTGCCAATGGACCTTTATTTTACTTAATGTGGTGCTGAGAATTGAACCCAGTGCCTCACACATACTAAGCAAGCACTACACCACTGAGCCAGACCTTCTTTATTTTGAGACAGAGTCCCACTGATTTGCCCAGGCTGCCCTTGAATTTGCATTCCTCCCATCTTGGCTTCCCAAGTTGCTGGGATTGTAGGCGTGCCGTGAGTTTTCTTCACAGAAGTGTACTGCAAGGCTGGGATACAGCTCATGGGTGGAGCACTTGTCTTGCATGCGCAAGGCCCTGAGTTCATCCCCAACATCACCCAAAAAAAGTTGCCTACACAGTTTCTCTGATTTTCACCACTCCCAGTTCCTGGGGACTCAGACAGGATGCCTACCAGCATGGAGTCTGCCCTGGCACCAAATGGCACATACCCCACTGTGGCCCTGCAGGGACAGCTGCTTTCTATTGCCATGGCAACGCTCAGCCGGAGGCACATGAGACAGGGCCTTGTCTTGCTCTTTATACTCTTGAGGCTCAGTCCTGTGTCTTGGACAGAGTATGAATATGTTTAAGGGGTCCCAGCCTTCGATCCAGGAGGCCAGGTCCTCTCAGCCCCCATGTAAGCAGGGAATGTTGGTCCTGGTGTGGAGCCATACCCTACCATCACCTCCACCTCTGCCTGCCCGCATCCTAGTTAGCATGGCCACAGCCCCCTGCCCACGCCCCTCACAGCACACAGAGGTAAGGACCTGTCTCAGGCACCTTCTACACCCTGCCCCGTCATCCCCCCGTGTGGGCACATAGGCCTCCATTCATCACCCTGAGGAAATGCCGGGTGCTATATGTCTTTCTGAAGGTAGAGTGTCCCTCTGAGGCAAGTGCTCCCCTCTGGCTGCTCTCAGACTAAAGGGCAGAGCAGCCCCCCAGTGTGTGGTGCATCCATTTGAATGAGGGCGGGGCTGACAGGCAAATGTACAGTTGGGTGGGCTCAATGCTGTCCTTGCACCACAGATGATGCCTCCAACCCCTTGTGATAAGGGGACAGCCCCTGCCCATCAGCCATGCGCCCTACTCACCTGGCTGCCCATCCAGGCCAGTGTGTCTGACCAGGTTTCTGAGTTCCCCTCACTGAATCTTGCCATAACATTTCAGGGACCATGCTCAGCTCCAGGCCTGACTTTGTCCCCCTCTCCCTCAGAGCATAGGGATCGCAGCATCACCTTGATGCCATGTATTCCTTTACCATAGGCCCTAGAGGCAGCCCGCAGAGGCCAGCTCTCCCGCTGGGGAGATCATCTGTAGCACAGCTCAGGTGATGAGCTGGCCATGACCCAGGGCTGACCCCTCCATTCCTTTCCCCACCTCCTGGATTTTTGAGGTTATTGCCAGCACATTCTAAACCTTCCTGGGGACGTGGGGACTGGGTGGTCACCAGCTTTATGGCAGCCCCCTCTGATGCTCAGTCTTTGTGTTTTCAGGCCAGGAGCAGCTGGCAGGGGGCCATCCCCCCACAGTCGATTGTCTCACCCACTGGAGACCCCAGCAGCATCAACTCAGATGCCTCTAATTAAGTTTTGGGGATATGCAGAAGGGTACCAGGTGAACCCCCGTGGGTGACCAGCACTCATATTCTTCTGCACATGCAGTTGATTACCTCAGAAGCTTGGGGCCCCAGGTGACAGTGCTCCCTGCTCCTGGGCCATGCAGCCAATGACCGACTCACTCGTCTGCTGGGACTTGAAATGGGCTGAACGCTGCTCATTTTCCCACCTCAGTTTGACTTTTTTAAAAAATAGTAATGTTATGTTAAGACTGTGAATTGTCTCTTCTAGGACTTATCTCAAATTTTCTCATTAAAATTTTCGACTTATTTTAATTTTAATGTTTTTAGTATCCGATTTGTTTCAGGTGATACTTGACAGCATGGGTGCCATGTCATAGCTACCAGGGTCTTGTGAGGGGACTCCGTGGCCACCTCTGCTCTTTGTGTGCCAGCCCTCCCCCCCTCCCCCTGGGTGTGCTTGTGTTCAGTCTGACTTAAATCTGTCCTGAGCTCTGAATTCTGCTGAGAGTTGGTTTGGTGGTTTTGTTTGTTTGTTTTTGTTTCTTTCTGTTGTTGCTTTTGTTTTCAACTGAAATGTCATTAAAAAGGATAAACCAGGCCGGGGTTGTGGCTCAGTAGTGGAGCGCTCGCCTAGCACGTGTAGGGCACTGGGTTCGATCCTCGGCACCACATAAAATTAAATAAAAAAAATAAAGGTATTGTGTCCAACTACAACTAAAAAATATTTAAAAAAAAAAAAGAAGAAGAAGAAGATGAGCTTCCTGAGCTGCTTCCATGTGCCATGAAGTCCTGCTGGCCCAAGACTTCACCCTTGGCATCAAATTCCTGAAAGTCCCTCTCTATCTCCTCAGCCTGGCTCTTTCCCAGCTCCACCCCGAACCAGGCCTTGGCTTCCTCACCTACCACTGAAGAGCAACAATGGGGTGGAGCCAGGCTATGAGGATCAAAATATGCTGCTAGGCCTGGAGCAAATACTGTAACCATGTATCAGATAGTGTCACAGTATCATGGTGGCCCTAACTCCACTTTGTCTGCTGCCACCACAACCAGTAACTGAGCCCCTATCCAGAGTGTTCTATCTGTCCACACATCCCAGGAGAACTCCTGTGGGCCTCTGCCTCAGCTTACCCCAAGGTATTAGCCAGCATACCCCAGGTTTTTGCCTCAGTGTCCCTCAAGGTCCCTCTATTCTAACTCTGTTCCCTGAGCGTAAAAGTCCTACAGGCATCAACACCAAGGTGCTGGTGTGTGGCTGAGCTGCTTTGGACATCCCGATGGCCTGTGAGAGAGACAGGGAGGATGAAAGACAGTGGTCATAACTGGAGGTTCAGCCCCTGCCACTATGAAAGCAGTGACTGCTACAGATGAGAGGGGCTTGCCCTGCCTCTGGTCCTCAGCGGAGTCCTGCCCAGCCCCCAGGAACCCTGGCTGCCCTCAGACTGCCCCCTGCCAGGACTGCCCAGACTTGGCTGGGCACCACCTCCAGGTCTCGGGTTGCTCTTGCCCAGCTGTACCCCCACACTGTCCTTCTCCACACCTTCTATTTGTTGTTTCTAAAAGACAAAAAATTAGCCAGGCATGGTGGTGCATGCCTATAATCCCAACTACTTGGAAGACTGAGGCAGGAGGATCACAAGTTGAGGCCAGCTTGGACAACCTAATGAGGCTCTGTCTCAAAATAAAAAAATAAAAAGGGCTGGTGCACACCTGTAATCCCAGTGGCTCAGGAGGCTGAGGCAGGGGGAGTGTGAATTCCAAGCCAGCCTCAGCAATTTAGGAAGGCTCTAAGCATCTGAGTGAGATCCTGTCTCTAAATAAAATATAAAAAAGGGCTGGGGATGTGGCCCAGTGGTTAAGTGCCCTGGGTTCAATCCCTAGTACCAAAAAAAATAAATAAAAGTCAAGAAATGGGTTTCAAACATGGGCAATATTGAGGGCATTCGGGGATTACTTGGGAAGCTAAAGCAGTAGGATAGAAAATTTTGAGGCCAGACTGGAGAATTTAGCAGGATCCTGTCTCAAATTAAAAAAAAAAAAAAAAAGGCTGGGATGTCCAGGTGTGCCCAGGTAGATGCATCCCCACTTGGACACAAGATGTCCTGCCACATACATTGCCTTTCTCTACAAGACACATCCTAGAGGTCACTCCTCATCTATTCCTGAGCGCCAAACCACTAGGATGGGACAGCCCAGGCTTCTCCACAGGCTGGGGACAGGTCAGGCCAGAGCACAACTCACAGGACATCTGGGGATTAGAGATGGAAAGACAATGGTCCCTCTGCTGCCCCACCCCGGTCACAGCTGGGTCTGTTTGTGGTGGCTGTAGTGGTTTCCTCCTCGAAGCAGCTTGCTGGGTTCTTCATGAGCAGCAGAGGATCTCCATGCCCTGAGTCCCTGTTGTCATGGTATCCTGTCTGCCTGCCATGGGGTGCCTGCAGCCCAGGATTCAGACCCCCTGCTCTAGTGAGTCAGGTTCCAGAGAGAAAGATCATCAACACAGGAAAAGTCGAGGGGTGGGTTGAGGGCCAGCCTCAGGGGGAAACTTCTTTTCCTTTCTATTTTTATTGTAATAAAATACATATAGTTTGCCATTTTTTTAAATATTATTTTAGTTGTAGATGGACACGATAACTTCATTTTGTTTATTTTTATGTGATGCCGGGATCGAACCCAGTGCCTCATGCATCTCGACAAGCGCTCTACCACTGAGCCACAACCCCGGCCCATAAAGTTGGTCATTTTTTTCAGGTTTTTTTTTTTTAATTCTAATTAGATATACATGACAGAAGAATGCATTTTGACATATTGTACACAAATGGGGCAAAACTTATTCCTCTGGCTGTACATGGTGCAGGGTCACTCCATAGCATAATCATACACGTATATAGGGTAATAATGTCTGTCTCATTCTATCATTCTTCCCATTCCCACAGCCCCACCCTTCCCCCCACACCCCTTTACACAAACTGAAGCTCCTTCATTCTTCCCTACCTACCCCTCCCACCCCACTATGGATCTTCATCCGCTTATCAGAGAAAACATTCACCTTTTGGTTTGGGGGGATTGGCTTATTTCACTTACCATGATATTCTCTAGTTCCATCCATTTATCTGCAAATGCCATTATTTCATTCATCTTTAAGGCTGAATGATGTTCCATTGTGTACATGTACCACATTTTCTTTATCCATTCATCTGTTGAAGGGCATCTAGGTTGGTCCCATGGTTTAGCTATTGTGAATTGAGCTGCTATAAATATTGATGTGGCTGTATCACTGTAGTATGCTCATTTTAAGTCCTTTGGGTATAAACCAAGGAGTGGGATAGTGGGGTCAAATAGTGGTTCCATTCCAAATTTTCTGAGGTATCTCCATACTGCTTTCCAAAGTGGTTGCACCAATTTGCAGTCCCACCAGCAATGTATGAGTGTACCTTTTCCCCACATCCTCACCAACACTTATTATTGCTTGTATTCTTGATAATTGTCATTCTGACTGGAGTGAGATGAAATCTTAGAGTAGTTTTGATTTGCATTTCTCTAATTGCTAGAGATGATAAACATTTTTTCATGTTTGTTGATTGATTGTGTTTCTTCTTCTGTGAAGTGTCTGTTCAGTTCCTTAGCCCATTTATTGATTGGGTTATTTGGGCTTTTTCTGGTGTTAAGTTTTTTGAGTTTTTTATATATCTTGGATATTAGTGCTGTATCTGAGGTATGTATGGTAAAGATTTTTTCCCATTCTATAGCCTCTCTCATTATGTTATTGGTTATTTCCTTTGCTGAGAAGCAGCTTTTTAGTTTGAATCTATCCCATTTATTGATTTTGATTTTACTTCTTGCACCTTAGGAGTCTTGTTAAGGAAGTCAAGTCCTAAGCCAACATGATGATTGGGCCTACTTTTTCTTCTGTTAGGTGTAAGGTCTCTGTTCTAGTGTCTAAGTCTTTGATCCACTTGATTTGATTTTTGTGCAGCGTGAGAGAGGTTTAATTTCATTTTGCTACATATGGATTTCCAGTTTCCCCAGCACCATTTGTTGAATAGGCTATCTTTTCTCCAATGTAAGTTTTTGGCACCTTTATCTAGTATGAGATAACCATATTTTTGTGGGTTTGTCTCTGTGTCTTCTATTTTGTACCATTGGTCTACATGTCTATTTTGGTACCAATTCCATGCTGTTTTTGTTACTATTGCTCTGTACTATAGATGAAGATCTGTGGTATTGTAATACCTCCTGCTTCACTCTTCTTGCTGAGGATTACTTTAGCTATTCTGGGTCTTTTATTTTTCCAAATGAATTTCATGATCGCTTTTTCTAGTTCTATGAAGAATTTCATTGGGAGTTTAATAGGAATTGCATTAAATCTGTAAGCAGTTTTGGTAGAATGGCTATTTTGGCTATATTAGTTCTGCCTAACCAAGAACATGAGAGATCTTTCCATCTTCTAAGATCGTTAATTTCTTTCTTTAGTATTCTGTAGTTTTCATTGTAGAGGTCTTTCACCTCTTTTGTTAGATTTATTCCCAAGTATTTTTTTTTTTGAGGCTATTGTGAATGGGATGGTTTTCCTAATTTCTCTTGCAGTGGATTCATTGCTTATGTATTTGATTTTATTAATTTGATTTATGGTTATTGATTTTATATCCTGCTACTTTGCTGAATTCACTTACTATTTCTAGACTTTTCTTGTGGAATATTTTTGGATCTTCTAAATATAGAACCATGTCATTGGCAAATAATGATAAATTGACATGCTTTATTTTCTCTGATTGCTCTAGCTAGAGTTTCAAGAACTATGTTGGATAGAAGTGGTAAAAGGGACATCCTTGCCTGGTTCCAGTTTTTAGAGGGAATGCTTTCAATTTTTCTCCTTTTAGAATGATGTTGGCCTTGGGCTTAGCGTATATAGCTTTTACAATGTTGAGGTATGTTCCTACTATCCTTAGTTTTTCTAGTGTTTTGAAGATAAAGAGGTACTATATTTTGTCAAATGTTTTCTCTGCATCTATTGAGATAATTATATTATTCTTGCCTTCAAGTCTATTGGTGTGAAGAATTACTTTTATTGATTTCTGTATGTTAAACCAACCTTGCATCCCTGGGGTGAACCCTACTTGATCATGGTGCACTATCTTTTTAATATGTTTTTGTATGTGATTTGCCAGAATTTTCTTGAGAATTCTTGTGTCTATGTTCATCAAGGATATTGATCTGAAGTTTTCTTTCCTTGATGTATCAGGGTGATACTAGCTTCATAGAATGAGTTTGGAAGGTTCCCTCCTTTTCTATTTCATGGAGTAATTTGAGGAGTATTGATA